TGAATGAAAAAAGTTTTTTGTTATAATTTTCTGCTAGAGATATGTTGATATGCTGCATTAATAATACAGGTTTGTATTTTATACTATATCTTTTCAAAGATTCTGTTGTGTCAGTGTTGGTAAGAACTTGATGTATATCTATATTTAAATTAATTTGATTCATAAAGAATTCACAATTTTATTTGGATATTGATTTGTAGTTAAATACTTTTCTTTTACATTTGAATTTTTGGTTGGTTCTAGAAAGTACAAATAGAAATAACCAGGTTAAGATTAGGATTTGATGATTATTATTTGTAGAAGATGATGAATTGTCTATTTTAAATTTATATAGATATAATATTAGTGTATAACTAGCCTATGTATACTCAATTTTAGTTTGATATTAGGTACTTTGTCAAGTATACTATAAGTTATTTGTATAGTCAGCTAAGTTATACATATTGGTGCTGTGTAAGTAGTTAAGCAGTTAGAATTTAGTAGCTGATAATAGGATTATTGGGTATAGGTTTAATGCTATAGCTTGTTGTATCCATATTATAACTTTGTTTTGTATTAATTTATGGTGTGTTGCATTAGTTAAGAAAAATAAACAGAAATAATTTAAAATTTGTGATCATTTTTAAAAAATAAATCTATTGCAATTGCACCTTCTGAGTGATTAAGAATATTGTAGATATAGGATTAGAATTGTTTTTAAATTATAATATATATGCTTTCTTTGATATCTGGTAAATTTGACCAGTAGTAGGAGTATGTATACCGACGAAATTATTTTAGGTTTCGGGATACGAAATTAAAATTTGAAGACAAAATTAGTTTTGACCTACTTTACTTAAAAGACGAAATTTTTTGACACTTTTTTTGAAGAAACGAAATTATAAGGAATATAACTACCTAAATTAGATTTGCTATTGCATATAAAAAATTCCAAATTGCTCTAATGGAGACAAAATAGGAGTTTTTTGAAAACCTATTTTGGTGACATGTATAAGTAGGAATAGTAATCTGTGTTAAGGAATTTTGTATTTGTATTGTTAAAGATTTTTGTTTTGGTAAGACTAACTATATATAAATTGTGAGTTAGACAGTAGGTTTTCTAAAGAAATTGTTTCTCTGATATATTGTATTTTTGTATATTGTGATTAGCAATATTTAGATATAGAAAGGAGTTGGAGTCCTGTAGGTTTCCTGTGAGTATAGTTTAGTTGTTATAATGATAGTAGATAATGTGTTGAGTAGGTGAGTAAATTGATTCTAAGTTGTTATAATTTTTATAAACTAGAAATATTTAATTTTTATAAAGAAAATTTCTAATTTATACTATAGGTGATTATTATCTGTAGTAAAATTATCTTAAATTAACTACTTTTTAGACTTTAAATAAAAAAATTTCTTGTAAAATTTTATTACAAACTTTATTAAACTCTAACCCTAATATGAGCTCTGACTCTTATTCTAAAATCTTAAAAAAAATATTTTTTTTTATTTATTAAATTGTTTATTTATTTGTTTATATTACACAAAATTAATAGAGTGTGGCAACTTAGTGTAGTTAGTAAGTTAGTGGACCTCCAAGCAGTAGAACAAGAGTTTGAATCTTACTGACGATGAAATTTAAATTTACGAAAATGTATTTAGAAGACTGTATCCTATTTGGGTTAGCATCTGTAACAGAATCACACCAGTATTGTTGTACTAAGAGATAGTGAAAATACTATGTAATATATAAGTTGCACAACAGTGAAGCTGCTAAGTAAATCTAGTGAATTGAAATACAGAAACCTGCTTGGCAAGACCCGAACAAAGAGGTAGTACAGATCTTTAACAGTATTACCTAATGATTTAAAAAGGAGAAGAAAAAGAGAAAACCGAACGAAACTGAAGTGTTTAGCAAGACACTCCACCAACCAGACCGCTGAACGAGTAACTGGAGAAAAAGAACCCAATTGTGAATATCAGGATAGGTTACAATCCTTCTGGGCTATCTGAATTGGAAGTTTAGAAAACCAAAAGTAGTGTTTAGTTTGGAAAACCGGAAGTATGGGTTGTAAATATGTACCAAGATTTAAACGAACTTAGTAAAGGTATAGAGTAGGTAACAGTAGCGACTTTGGTTCGCAAGTACTTGTTCTTGGACTCGCATAAGTTACTGAAAACCTAGATAATATATATATAAGATATAAACTACTCTAATAAGTTTATCACAAGATCAAAGAACCTCCTATATGGAAATATATATTCACTTTAAAGACTTAGCAGGCATTAGTGGCAGGTTCCTCTTTAGGCAAGATATCTGATAGTGTGAAGTTGATTAGAGAGTTTAATTGGATAACTCAAGTAATAGTGGGTTGCAGATATGGCATCTAGTATAGAATCTAGTAATAGATAAACTACTTAAATTAGGCGCTTAAAAGATGCAGGTATAATTAGAATATACTCTTATTAATATAACAAGATCAGGTGCAGTCCATGTGACTGTGCTGGTATCGACCCAAAAGTTCAATAAATCGTGCCAGACCTGTGAGTGGTCTCTTAACATTTAAAAAAAAAAAACATTATATGAAATTATATATTGCAAATCACAGGTAATCATCACCTGTAATGTTCATTGGTTATTTTTTTATATGAAATGAAATTTTATTACTATATTTTGAAATAAAAAAAATTAAAAATTAATATATACAAATATATAATAAATTATATATATTTGATGGTTAACCAAATAAATAACACCTATTCAAATAAAATTGATTAGTGATATTTGAATTTTTACTTATTTGCACGAGGGAACACGATTCAAAAAAGGAAATTGATAGAAGTTTAGAGCTAGGGCGTTAACATTATAGGCTATAGCAATAGATTGTCGTTTATTATATGCAAAATTTCGTTTCCAACATTTTAGTGAATTAAGGTCGATTTAAACACTAGTTTTTGAGTATTTTCGCTTTTTACTTTCGCGCGTGTTCGGAGCTGATCCGGAATAGTCAAAATTTGTGCTCTCCGATTGGCCATTTCCTTTTTAGGGGTTTGTATTACTCGCGCAGTTTTTTGATAAGGGTGTAAGAAATACACTAACTAAATTAATAATACACTTAAGGGGAACATTAATAAATTTTCATATTTTTTATTTTCGTTGCTCATATCTTTCGGCCAAGCATTTAAATAAAGCTATTTTAACACCATTCGATTCGTCTTGATAAGGCGAATCGAATGGTGCTAAAATTATCCGATTCATATCACTGTATTTAGAAATTGCTAAAAACACGAGTACGCCACAATACCCCCGCGATAGAATACCCGACCTTCCCTTATTAAATTTTCAAAAAATAGAACTATTTAATAAATTGATTCAGTAAATTAATATACACGATAATAACTTTTTTTATTGTATTGTCTTTAAATATTAATAATAATTTTCAAAATTTGTGAAATTTAAGCATTTCATAGTGTACTAATAATAGTAAACTTTGAATTAAATTAGATAAAGATAGACCTTGCATTTCATTTTATTACATAATATATATTATTTTATCATTTTTTATGATATGTTTTAGCAAATTCAATTAATTTTGTAATTTAACTAATAATGACATCGAACATAATCATTTAAAAGACGATATTTCATAAAAATTTAAAATTTTGAATTTACAGTATGATATTACAAAAAATAATCGCACTATGACACGTTTGATTGACAATGTTTCATTTTGATTAACTGTTAAGGTTAGTTCCTCATACTGATACTAGCCGTATTTATTATGATTTGATTGGTCGGCTACTGTTCTCTTTATGTAAAACAAGGAATTACTTATTTGCGAATGCTGAAACAGGAACATTGCAGATATTTGAACATGGTTAAAGGATTTATATCGATATTTCAAAAATTAGAATTGAATACAATATTTTAAAATTATGTCTGGAGTAGGATATCGACGCTATGATTAGTACATAAGTTTCGCGTTCAGGCATATAGATAAATTCTATAATATTGAATCATGTGTCTGATAAGCCCATTTCTATAAAATGACATTCATGGGCACTTTGATTATTTATAAAGACTATCTTGAAATTAGTATTTTAGCTTTCATAGAAAGTTAATTTGATATTATTTATACAGTTTAAAGTACTTTTTTAAAAAAAATCAAACTACAAAGGGATCTCTTGCAGTATAGGTGACACCATTAATAAAATGTATTATTAATTAATTGATTTAGAATAGGTGTATACTGCAAGAGATCTCTACAAAGAATAAATAAAAAACTATATATAGAAAGTTTTATTAGGGTCGTAGGATTCCACTATAAATAATCAAAATCCCATTTTGTTTTAGAGAAGTTAGCATAATAACGATTTCTGAAAAATAACTTCTCTGAAATAAAAGAGGGATTTTGATTATTTTCAACTGTAGAGTCATACAGCCCTAATAAAACTTTCTATATATGTAGTTTTTAAACTGTATAATAAATAATGTAAAATTAAATTGATTTAAACAGCCAATCATATGAAAGTCTTTCTATGATTTAGCATAGATACGTACCGAAATCGTGAAGATATTCTCGGAAATTTACTTGCATAACTGATAACTTGAAATTTTCCATCCAATAACCCTATACGTACGTACGTACGTACGCAATATGTGCTCGTCTAAATATATCCAGATATAAATTTTTTTCCATATTAATCTATATACAGTAATGAAATTGTCTATCATATTCTTAGGAGAAATTCGTTAATTATATAAACAGTGCAATTTCGTCATTCTTTCTTTTGTAACCGTTCAAATTAAAACATTAAAAAAAACATAATGACGATATCAAAGTATCCTAAATTTCACAGTTATATTAATCATGTCTACGTAGCTAGTGCATTCGCATTTTGTTTGATCTTTCCTATAATTTATATCATTAAGCGTAAACGTTCAATTCTATTTGACATGCTAATTGCTTTGGCAATGCTGGTACTGTCTTACGTAATATACTGGGTAATGTCAGGATAAAATGAAATATTCAATTTTTTGTAAACGCTTAATCAATAATTATTGTTATACTCACAATTACATTTTTAGACAATTATCCGATTAAAATTTTATAATAAATCATCACAAAGAACGAGACAAGTCGATTTAACGTCAATACAAACAACAGAACCATCGAGTGGTCCAATTTATACAACATTCACTAACTATCGACTTGGGAATTTGGCAGAAAGATCTGATTTATTTTTTACATCTCCACCACCAACATATCGTAATGATTTACCACCACCTTATTCTACAAAACCAGAGACTTCTAATGTTTCTGAAAGTATACCTGAAAATCCTCATTCTACAAAACCAGAGACTTCTAATGTTTCTGAATGTATACCTGAAAATCCTCATTCT